CCTTTGTCTCCCCAGTGGCGATGTTTACACACCGAACCAGGTACTCATTTAAGGCTGAGTCGACCTAGGTGAGGCCCAGGACCGGTTCAGATAATCGTCACTGGTGTTGGCCGTGAGCGGGAATCGAACCCGGGTCGCCAGGTTCATAGCGCAGCGCGCTAACCGCTACACTACCGCTCCCCACGCACGCACACACACACACACACGCACACTCACGCACACGCACACACGTACACACACACACACGCACATACACGCACACACACTCACGCACACGCACACACATGCACACACATGCGCACACACACGCACACTCACACACACGCACCCGCACACACGCACACACATGCACACACAACAACAACCGCCATTCGCCACTAAGTGGCGGTGACGTCACCACGACGCTTGTGCCAGGCCATGTGCACCATGCCACGCACACACACGCTCTCAGGTGTGAGCACACCTGTAGTGTCACGTGACCTGTAATGCCCGGTTACTTGTCAAATTCCTTCTTGAGTACTTTTGCACGCGGAGAAAGCCAATGCGTTTCATTGGACACGCGCGTGGAGATGGGTCACGTGTAGAGAGTGGTGAGTGAACCCTGTTGCTTGAGCGACTCGTAAAGCCGCCTCCACAACTTCCCTAATTAAATTATTAAATCCACGAGGCGCTACTCGGGGGGGGGGGGGAATGCCACGAATACGATCTGACTTTTTAGTTGCTGCAGGAAATTAAATCGGCTATTTTACGCGTCCAAATGCAAAGACTCGTTTGAGGAAGAGAACGTAGCGTGCCACTCTGCTCGAGTCGGCGTTCTCTCGCATGCGATGAAGCCTCTTGCATTCGTTATGGAAATGTCAGGAGTGACCTTTCGCCAGTGTGGCTAAGTAAACACACGACGGCAGGACTGGACTCGATTAACGATTGCTTTCAAGGGCAGATTGAAAGTGAGAGCACTTTTATAAAGCAAACGCATTCCCAGCCCCCTGAACAAAAGAAACTGGTACGATCCTCTCTGCAATCTAAACGTGTGCGTCTCTGACTGCTGCAATGTCTATAAACGCAAACATCTGTCTTAGTTCACAAAGCATGGCCCACTGAGCGACGTAGCGCTCTTGCAGAAGCGACCTGGCTTTCACAAATGATAGCCACATTGAAATGGCTGATGACGTGAACCCTTAAAGCAGCCAAACGCTCTAAACGCGTGATGTGATTCTAATGTGGAGGGGAAAACCGGAGGACCCGGAGACAAATCCACGGGGAGAATATCATGCAGATGGTGGGTGGTGAAAGGTGATGTTTGCCATGGGTATTGTGCACGATCCATCCTGGGTTTAACCGGCAGGCTGGATTGTGTGAGGAGCTCACAAATCCTTGAAAGATCTGGGCAAAGTCCCTTTGGTGAGCTCCTCCGGCAGGCAAGGCTGCGTTGGCTGGGTCATGTAGCCCGCATGCCCAGCCACCGCATGCCTAAAACAGCTTTTGTTCGGCCGGATCGAGGGGGCTAAACGGCGTGGCACGGGCTAGAGAAGAGATGGAGTGATGTGGTACAGGAGGACGTGCAGCTGAGTGGACTTGCCGATGACTGGTACCAGCGGCGTCAAAATTGGCCTCTGTGGAGGAGGCTCGTGAAGGACGCTACTGGGCAGTTTGAGGTAGTCGCCCTCCAACAACAACGGAGGGCGGAGGAGCGACGCTCACAACAACGAGCGGAGCGCCGGGTGGCTAAAACACAGCAAGTTGGCACAGTATGGGGCACAGGTGGTGCATCAGCCAGTCATCTCGGTCATCTCGGTCAGTCGACCCGTGGCACCTGCTGGGTCTGCCCCGTGACCTCCTGCCAGCGGGCGTTCGACACTTCACGTGGCCTCAAGGTGCACATGGCCTGGCACAAGCGTCGTGGTGACGTCACCGCCACTTAGTGGCGAATGGCGGTTGTTGTTGTTGTGTGTTTAGCAGCACCTGCCCCACAAAGTGTGTGGAGGCTACACGGGGGAGCTTTGCCGTTGTAGTGAAGGATGTTGCGGGCGGGGTGGTCTGGTTTCCCACAGCCTCAAGATTGCACAACTTTGACAACGACTCGTCACGAGCGGGTGGTGGTGCTGGTGGTGGTGGTGCTGCTGGTGGTGGTGCTGGTGATGTTGGAAGGGGAACATCACCACTGGGGAGACAAAGGCGGTCGGGCGTGTACCCGTGATATAGGTACCCGCTAACAGCACTTGCCCCTACAGACCTGCTAGAGGCTACCTGGCGTAGCTTTGTCTGTCCGTGACACTCTTAATTGGATCAATTAAGAGATGACAGACCACGTGATGTGGGCGTGATGACATCGGCCGCTGATGCAGGGCGACGTTTCAGGCGGTGGCTCTGAAAGAGGACACGCCCATAACACAGACAAAGCTCCCCCAGGTAGCCTCTAGCAGGGCTGTTGGGGCAAGTGCTTCTAGTAGCGAGTAGCCCCGCCTATGATACACACACAGACAAAGCTCCCCCAGGTAGCCTCTAGCAGGGCTGTAGGGGCAAGTGCTGCTAGTAGCGAGTAGCACCGCCTATGATACACACACAGACAAAGCTCCCCCAGGTAGCCTCTAGCAGGGCTGTAGGGGCAAGTGCTGCTAGTAGCGAGTAGCACCGCCTATGATACACACACAGACAAAGCTCCCCCAGGTAGCCTCTAGCAGGGTTGTAGGGGGAAGTGCTGCTAGTAGCGAGTAGCCCCGCCTCTGATACACACACAGACAAAGCTCCCCCAGGTAGCCTCTAGTAGGGCTGTAGGGGCAAGTGCTGCTCGTAGCGAGTAGCACCGCCTATGACACACAGACAAAGCTCCCCCAGGTAGCCTCTAGGCGGCTGTAGGGGCAAGTGCTGCTAGTAGCGAGTAGCACCACCTATGATACACACACAGACAAAGCTTCCCCAGGTAGCCTCTAGCAGGGCTGTAGGGGCAAGTGCTGCTAGTAGCGAGTAGCACCGCCTATGATACACACACAGACAAAGCTCCCCCAGGTAGCCTCTAACAGGGCTGTAGGGGCAAGTGCTGCTAGTAGCGAGTAGCACCGCCTATGATACACACACAGACAAAGCTCCCCCAGGTAGCCTCTAGCAGGGCTGTTGGGGCAAGTGCTACTAGTATCGAGTAGCCCCGCCTATGATACACACACAGACAAAGCTCCCACACGTAGCCTCTAGCAGGGTTGTAGGGGCAAGTGCTGCTAGTAGCGAGTAGCACCGCCTATGATACACACACAGACAAAGTTCCCCCAGGTAGCCTCTAGCAGGGTTGTAGGGCAAGTGCTGCTAGTAGCGAGTAGCACCGCCTATGATACACACACAGACAAAGGTCCCCCAGGTAGCTTCTAGCTGTCCCAAGCTTGTTGGAACGGTTTGCGGTTCATGACGTTTTTGGAAAAATGCAGTTGGCCATTTGTGCCGACGTCAAGGTCCAAATGATCAAACATTGTAAAAATGAGCTCGTGAATTACTTAGCTCTTATATATTTAAAAAAAACTGTGAACAATTGTTTTATTAGACTACTAGGTGAGGCCCACTGAACTATGTAGCACTCTCTCCCGAGCGACCTGCCCATCACTAGTGACAGCTGCACGAAGTGGCTTATCGTGTGGACATTTCTATCAGACAAACACTCTAGACGCACGTTTGTAAATGCGGGAGTGACAAACCGGAGAAAAAATCCACGCGACCACGGCAAGAGAGATATGCAAGCTCAAATATGCAGGCACCAGGGTTGGGATCGAACCCACGATCTCCTGCACACCAAGCAAGGAAGTTAACATCTCGCCACCGTGGCGCCCAGTTAAAGCAACGGTGCACTTAGTTGGAATATCCAAGGGCAACATCGCCCCCCTACTGGAAGACTGTTGCCGCTGGCAGGCCGATGCTACGCTGCCTTGTAGCACCAAGGGACAGCGATCGACCGCGCGTCCCCTCGGCTTCAACGAGAACTACATCTGTCCGCGAGAGCGATCGAGGTGAGATGTGCGGCGCCGTGAGATGCCGGGGACATTTAAGCGCCACCGGATGGGCATCTTTCAAAAGCAACGTTCAGACTGAGCGTTCTAGCGAGCGGCATTTCATCCCGTCCTGAAAATAGCTTCTTCACTGCGGCTGAATGCATTGCGCAATGTGTCACTTACAACAAGAAAAACAAAACCGTGAACCACACTGAGCCATCACTCAATCAGTACAAGCCAATATACCCCAATCAGTCACGACTAGAGCAGCACAGCACAACGACCCTGTAGACGTGCAACAGTGGGCTCGTGTTGGTCACACGGTGACGTGACGTGCCAACATTGGCACGAGGCATGCCGAGTGTGACGCCACAGGCAGTGACAAGGGCAGACCTGTGGTCAAGCCTCGCTTGGATGAGGACCTCCCTGTGGCGTGCAGGTCGCGGGGGTCGTGTCACCGCACTTGAGCACGCTGAAGGCGGCGGGGGGGAGAAGACACGTTGCGTAGCAGTGCCGACAACTTGGCCGTAGGGTTAGATAGCGAAGACACATCTTGCACGCGGGTGGAATCTGCAATATCACGAGATTTTGGACGATTTTTGACCCCCCCCCCCCTTCGTCACACGGCGTCATAAAAAGTGAGACCCCCCCCTCATATATGACGTCACAAAGCTCTGCCCCCCCCCCCCCAAAAACATGCTTCAAATCGCTTTAAACTATTGTCATTGTGTAGTGCGTGTTTAATGTGGCGCTGCACTCTGATGTTGTAGGAGAAAACATTTATTACAAAGTCTATTTAATTAAGTAGAACGTGTCGTCTATGTTTATTTAAAAAGTTGCGCATTTTGATGTGACGTCACATTTCTCAAACCCCCCCCTCGTCACACATCGTCACAAATATCTGACCCCCCCCCCCCCCCAGGTGCGTGACGTCATTTAATGTATTCACGCTCTAATTTATTCAGTTACGGGGTCGCTCGTTGTGGGCGGAGCGTGGCTTGTAACCCGAGAGTGACGTCATGTCACTTGCTGCTGCCGCGTGACGTCACGAGGTAACAGGAAGCTGCCGCTGCAGCTGCGTGCTTACTGAACTCCGAGGTGAGAATTTCTCATCGTTGTGATGGTTGTTGTGGTTGTTGTTGTTGTTGTGTACCAAGGTAGAGCCTCGCTGTTTCTCTCTCTCAGGGATGTCAACTGAGTAGCAGCGAGTGTTGGAATCGATGTCCAGATTGGAACTTCGCCCCGCGGGGCCTTGCCTCCTGCCCTCGCCTGATGGCGTTCAAGTTTAATTCTCTCGCTCAAGATAAATTTGTCTTCACGCGGCTCGCTACTCTGTAACTTTGGTTCGCTGTAGATATTAACGCAGTTTTTGTTCTTCGTGTTTGTTACCAGGCCAAGCCCGCTTGAGCTGCTGTACCGCTCTCGTTCTCAGAAGCGACCTGCCCACAACAACAACAACAACCACAACAACAACCACAACAACAACCACAACAACCACAACAACAACAACCACCACGAGGTGAGGCTTGTCAACAGCATGGCGCTGTTCACTCTGGACGCGGCACCGCGAGTCGGTGTCTGTGGGTCACAGGCGCTCAGCGCCGCGTGCCGCTGTTCACTCTGAACGAGTGGAGGGGGGCACCGGGGGGGGGGGGGGGCAGGAGGTAAATCGACGCCGCCGCCACGGGGAGAGGGAGAGACACGGGGAGCGCCTCGGCTGTGTCGGTTGATCCTCCATTCGTTACTTGGTGGAGTGACGCAGCATTAATGTCACCGCTAGAAACCTCCTGGTTCCACCAGCCCACAGGGGATTATTGTGTCCGTCCGTCCGTCGTGCATCCAGAAATGGGAGGGGTGGGGCTGGGTGGAGAGGGGAGGGTGGGGTGGGGCTGGTCACCCCGTGGTGCCCTTATAAAACTCAACGTTTAACCTACTCATGCCGGCTTGTGCCCGCCCTCACAGTCGGGCATATTTGCGGAATACACCACGCCGCCGTTGACCCTGCAGGCCATTGACCGAGCAACCCAACGTGTTCCTAGCAGCTCCCTCCGCAGCAGGAATGTGTTCTGATAGTGCGGACTGCCGCATTGTGTTTCACACGACACAGGATTGACGACGGGAGGAGAAGGGCACGGTGGGTTCACGGCTCCACAAGCGGCAGCAGCAGCAGCACCAACAGCAGCAGCAGCAACAGCAGCTGCAAGCAGCAGCGAGAACTTGCCGGCCACATGTCGCTGCGATGTGTCGCGTTGCTGTTGCTCGTCTCCGTCTCCTTCCAAGGTGATGATCGCCGCCGCCGTGAACATCGGCAGCATCCAGCAGCATCCCCCCCCCCCCACCTCATCCGATCGTGGTTCGGCTTCACCGTGTGAATCGTTGTCTGTAGACGCGGAAGATTCGTGGCACCCCACACACGCGAATTGGCGCTGTACGATGGGGAGTCTTTCTTTAAAAAAAGAGTCGCGATTTGCTGAGTGCTGATTTGCTGAGTGCGACGGGCGACGCTTCGTTGGTTCCTGCACGACGGTGGATTCCATCGTATAAGTCGTCATCTAGCCTCGTTTACTGTACACTTCACTACTACACTACACTATACACTACACTACTATACACTACACTACTATACACTACTATATACTACACTATACACTACACTATACACTACACTATACACTACACTACTATACACTACACTACGATACACTACAGTAACATACTCTGCACTATATATACTGCTGCACAATACATTATACACTACACTACTATCCTCTAAACTACAGTACTATAAACTACACTATACACTACATACACTACTATACACTACACTACTATACACTACACTATACACTACACTATACACTACACTAGCAGTCTGCAGCGTGACTTGCGTGCGATGACCGTCATCGCCGCAGGCGTCGAAGCGGCGATCTCCGTGGCGGTGACCCCGCTGGTGGAGGTGGAGCTGGGAAGTCCGCTGGTGATCCCCTGCACGGTCACCAGCTCCGTGGGCGAGGAGGTGGTCACCCAGTGGTTCATCGTGAGTAGCGCCACCCCCACCCCCCACCCACACGCACACCGCCGCTTGTCACGCTCGGATACGTACGTCGTATGCCCTGCCCAGAGACTCAGCACTGTTACCCATAGACTCAGCACTGTTACACGTAGACTCAGCACTGTTACACATAGACTCAACACTGCACCATAGACTCAGCACTGTTACACGTAGACTCAGCACTGTTACACGTAGACTCAGCACTGTTACACATAGACTCAACACTGTTACCCATAGACTCAAGACTCAACACTGCCACCCATAGACTCAACACTGCACCATAGACTCAACACTGCCACCCATAGACTCAACACTGCACCATAGACTCAACACTGCCACCCATAGACTCAACACTGCACCATAGACTCAACACTGCCACCCATAGACTCAACACTGCTACCCATAGACTCCAACCCCCCCCCCCCGGCACAGATTTCACAATCTTCGCGAACGAGGATCTCGTACCGCGACGCGCGACTCTTCGTGGCGGACTTGGGCACCGGCTACGAGAGTCGCATCGACGCTCGCCGCAGCGACTCCGCGCTGGCGCTGAACGCGACGGAGACCGCTGACGAGCGCGACTTCGTCTGCCAGGTGGTGGCGGGGCGCGCCAGCGTGGCCGAAGCCACTGCAAGCGTGCGGGTGTTTTGTAAGCGAGCGCCACGGGGGGGCCACTTGCTACCGTACTCTTAGGTGGTTTTGTTCGGTAAAGTCGCGTGGGTAAAAAATTTAAATTAATAAAAGTAAAATAAAAATAAAATAAAAATCACGAAGTTTCGGAGGCAACACAAGACTCCGTCTTCAGGTGGACTCTGTCACAGCACTATACACTACTATACACTACACTATACACTGCACTATTATACACTATACACTAATATACACTACACTATACACTAATATACACTTCACTATTATACACTATACACTACACACTACCACACGACGTTTCGGAGGCAAGTTGGACTCGCCAGCACGTAACGGCCCTCCCCCCGTGTCCCCCTCCCCCCTCCCCCCGTGTCCCTCCCAGCGGCCCCCACGGTGGCCGTGACGGCGAGCCAGAGGCCCGTGCTGCTCAAGCCCCAGCACCACCACAAGGTGAGCAGCCCGCGGCCTGCGCGGACATTCTTCTAGTTCACACTCCGGCCTGTCGCTCCCTCTCCTGACGGCAGAGGTCGCAATCGGGTACCCGATATCCGTACCCTACCCCATACCCGGCTACCCGTACCCGGCCGGGTACGGGTAGCCGTTTGCGACCCTGGTGCGGCCGGGTACGGGTAGACCGTGAGTCACTGGTGAGTCACCGTTTGTCACTCATTTCCCAACGTCTTGTCTCTTCTCACAATTCAAGTTCCTAGAATCAACCCACCCGCGCCTGCAACATGGCTTCATCCCAGAGGTCGCAATCGGGTACCCGATACCCGTACCCTACCCGTATCCGGCCGGGTAGGGTACGGGTAGGGTACGGGTAGGGTACGGGTAGGGTACCCATTTGCGACCCTGGTGCGGCCGGGTACGGGTACGAGGGGTAAGGAATCAAAACCCGTTTGCGACCTCTGCCTAACGGTCACCTAGGGGTGGTTTTGTTACCTTAATGGCGGTGCTGTAGACGCCAACGATTCGTGATTCTAACGTGGTTTAGTTTTAGTTTGGAGATGTTGACTACCTCGCCTGGTGCACAGGAGGTCGTGGGTTCGTATATAGTAGTGTAGTGTATAGTGTATAGTAGTGTTGTGTATAGTGTAGTGTATAGTAGTGTAGTGTATAGTAGTGTAGTGTAGTGTATAGTGTAGTGTATAGTGTAGTGTGTAGTATTGTAGTGTATAGTATAGTAGTTGTATAGTATAGTAGTTGTATAGTAGTGTACTGTATAGTAGTGTATAGTAGAGTAGTGTAGTATATTAGTGTATAGTAGTGTATAGTGTAGTGTGTAGTATAGTAGTGTAGTGTATAGTGTAGTGTGTAGTATAGTAGTGTATAGTAGTGTAGTGTATAGTGTAGTGTGTAGTATAGTAGTGTATAGTGTAGTAGTGTATAGTATATTATTTTATAGTATAGTAGTGTATAGTGTAGTAGTGTATAGTATATTATTTTATAGTAGAGTGGTGTATAGTATATTAGTGTATATTAGTGTATATTATAGTAGTGTACCACACCCGGCTGCATTTGTCTCCCTCGTTGCGATGTGTACACATCGCACCAGGTATTCCTTTGAGGCTGAGTCAACCTAGGGGAGGCTCAGAACCGGTTCAGATAATCGTCACTGATGTTGGCCGTGAGTGGGAATCGAACTTGGGTCGCCAGGTTTCGTGGCGCGACGCGCTAACCGGTTCTGTGCCTCCCCTAGGTCGACTCAGCCTCAAATAAATACCTGGTGCAGTGCAGTAAAACATCGCCACTGGGGAGACAAAGGCGGCCGGCGTGGTGCTGGCCACCCACCCCCTCGTGTGCCGTGCCGGCCTTCATAGGTGCTACTCGCTAACAGCACTTGCCCCTACAGTCTGTTAAGACTACACGGGGGATCTTTGTTGCGTGTGTTGGTCTGTTTCCCTCTCTTGCAGATCGGTGAATGTTACGTGCGCAACGCTTACCCAGAGCCCCTCGTCACGTGGTACAAGGATTCCCTGCCCCTGTGGCCATCACCTGGTAAGTGGATCTGCCGGTGAATGTATCTGTTGGTGAATGTGTCTATGGTGAATGTATCTGTTGGTGAATGTATCTGTTGGTGAATGTATCTGCTGGTGAATGTATCTGTGGTGAATATGTCTGCGATAG